GGAACTCTGAACAGGGAGCTCAGTTTTAAATTCAGCACTTGCCCAGGTTTACAATTAGGTTTAATTACTTAGCAACAGAGAGTCTAATCTAGTTTTACATGTGTGCCACATGACCCTTTCCATACCTTACTGGGATTGGAAGGGCCCCCTGCCTCTCTTGGGGAAAATTGCTTCCAACATTTTGGAGACCGTTTACAATGTTTTTGTTCTTATGCTGCAAAGTTAACATTGCCCATAAACCTAATAGTCACACAGTAGTTAATAAGGGGCAGAAAGTTTTATAGTCTTTTCCGCAGTTGTTAAAAATCCTGCTACTGTAGTTCAGTCCCAGCCACACAAAACCTACCAGTTGTGAAAAATAGGATGCTCTATGTGTTGGTTTATTCTTGGAAACCAGTGGAAGAGAGGACCTTTCCTGAGCATCTAGCTGAACGTAATGAACTTGGGGATTATTTAAATTGCTTGGCTTGTAATATAAACACTCGAGGGCTTGCCAGCAGTGTACCTTCAGGATGTGTGACTTTTCTAAAAAAATCATTTGGGATTTTTTTTTTTCACAACCCATTGCAATTAGTGGCACTATGGCAAAGGATGATTTATTAAATTGCCTTTCAGTTAGAGGAAATAGAAACCATTAATGATGTTGCACACGCATTTTTAGTCAGGTTCAGCGAGAATGATTTTCTAGCTGTCTTTGTATGTTATGTAAACTAAGAACATTCCCAGGGTACCAGCTGGATCATCCTTTGGGCCCTGTAGACCTTCAGAATGGTTTTGACCTTCTCCTGCTAGAAAAGGTGCTGTGGAAATGAGGTACTTCTCGAAGTTAGTGAGACTTCCAGACACAAACATGAACTGAAATGGGCTCAGATGCAACTAGGCATTGACTACTAGTACCCCTTGGACACACACTTACTTCTGTTCCTTTACCATGTGAACAGGGAGCAGGGAAGGCTAGAGCTGGGACAGAGTGGTCCCTGGAATAAGTGGCAGACAGGAACAGCTCTGATAAGAAACAGTTTAAAAATTTTTCTGAAAGGGAATTTTCAATGCCTCTGTTAATAACTTAACAGTTACATAAACAAACAAACAACAACAAAAACTTGCAACCATTAATAATCCAGAATATTTTTCTCAGAAGGTACCTGTTCTGCTAGTACATGGAAAACTAGTATAGAGATTAGTACGCAGTAGTGAAGAGTGGAGGCAGAGAGGAATAAAAAAAAGCTTATTTTTTTAAAAATTAAATACTATGGACACCATGAGCTCTTAAGCACAATGATACTACATGCTGTCTAAAAGAGCAGAGTTCTAATTACTTGGCTGCCATAACTTTACTTCAGTGCTTAAAATGTGATTTCCTTTAGATTTCGTCTTCTGCCTGTCTTGCCTGGGATTGCAGATCACTTTCTATTACATTTCTAAAATGGATTTTTCCACAGATTACCAGTGTGTACTTTGTTACTTACAGCTGAACATTGTTCTCCCCTGCCATCTCTGAGAAAAAGGATGTGGGTTATCTTGGATAAGCTTGGCACTACCAACACATAGCGTTTTGCATCCTCTGAAAACTGTGTGCAGTCGATGGAGTAGGATTCTGCAGGTTTGGTGCTCAATTTAGTGGGATTTTTAAATGCAGGGAACAGATAGTTTAACAATGAAGGGTGTGAAGGGTGTGATGTGTTAGTGGTGGGCAGATGCTTTGAGGGGAAAAGCCCATGAACAGGGTTAGAGCTCCACACTTACTTCCCTGTGCACTGTGCCAAAGTGTTACCCAAATACCATTCTATAATAGAAGTCTAAAAAGGAAATGGTACTATTCATTAAGTAATTTCTGACCCATTGCCTGACTGCACTACTGGATTAATTTTGAAGCACACGTATGGGAGTACCTTTGTAGTTATCTGTCTAAAAATACCATTTCTGTGTTGGTTTTTAAAGAGTGTTTGCATAAAACTTTATCAAGATGCTTAATACACTGTGCCATGATCTCCTTGGGCTGGAAAAATAGCATTACAGTGGTTGCAATGCCTTCAAGGTCTGGCACACTCCGTGCTCTGGATGTGATTCTGCACATGTTTGAAATTCCCATAGCTGACAGGCTGGATGCTAATGGAGTGGGAAGGGATAGGAGGTAGAAGCAGGTCCCTGTGCCTAACTCACCCCACACAGCCTGGCTTCCTTGCTCTTTGGGGCTCTGCACACCTGGTCTGGTGCCAAACACTTTCTGCTCAACCGTAGGGGTAAGCCAGAACATCCTCTTTGTTGTCTTGAAGAAGCTGTGGGAAGAGCAGAAGAACTCCTTCCCTGACGTGCCCCTGGATTCCCTAAAACTATATACAGCCCTTCAGTACAGGTCTGTCCCAAAGGTACAGTCTGCTGCTGTCTGACAGGCTTCTCCTATCAAGAACTCAAGTGTTGCTCTGAAAAAGAGACTTGTCTTTGTCTGGTAAGTTTGTTCTCCTTGATCCCAAAACCACTGAAATCAACAGTGTTTTGAAGTCAATTTCCACTGATTTCCATGGTCTGGAGATTAGATTTCGCTGTCTTTTCAGCTCTGAGTCTCAACAGTTCCTGACTGCCTCAATCTGGATCTTTTTTTCCCTCCTGCGGGATAAAAAGATGCTATTTAACATGACGAGGTCTAAATAACTGGGCACTGTGCATGGAAACTACAGCTCTATTGTCAGCCCCATTTCGCAGGCAAGGAAGCTGTATCTGAAATCATACCTCCAAATTGCAGCAAAGCTGAGAGCAGAATCCAGCTTTCATTCTGTAGATATCCTACTATAAGGAAATATTTCAGCCTCATTTTAATTCGCAAGTATTTCTAAATATCTTCCCTTAGCCATAGTCTCTTGCAAATGCAGCTGTGAACTGGAAATGTTTCGTGTTCATTTTCCTGTTGCATTGCTTTTTTTTTAAATTATTTTATTTTCCTTGTTAGTTGCAGTCATTAACAGTTTGTGAATAAATCAATTATGGGTAAAAATATACTAATAGGTAATAGAGCTTTTCTTTTTTTTTGTGCTGATTGAGGTAGAATAGTACAGCAAAAATGCAATGCACTGGTATTTTCAAACTGAAATGCAGTATTTTTTTTCCAGAGCTGTGCTGACTTACAAGCCTACAACACTCATAACTTTGACTAAGAATTAGGTTCCTTAAAAAGCAGACTGAGACCCCTCTCAGATTTTCCATTACTGAGGAAGTATCTTTAGTTCAGCAACCAGTCAGGGGAGGCAGTTAGAGAGCTATATTGTAAGTGACACTTTAGAATCGTAGTTTTTTCAGTATTTATCAACCGTTGTATTTTCAGCTTGAAGGTACCAATGTTTTTGTGTCACGTAATAAATTACAGAATGTTTACATGCAATTAGGCATGTGCCTATGGAGGAGAAAACACTGGGAAACAGGATTTTCCAGAGGCAGTAGCTAGTTCAGAGGCCCAGAGCCACTGCAGTAGCTGTTGTCAGGGAGGACTGAGTGGCAGTTCTAATTACCAGTGTCTACACAGGTTTCTCATAGGAAGATACAAGCTGTCACGATCCCTTGCCAATCACATGAGAACTGACCTAGGGAGAACATCAACTGAAGGTGAGTGTACATATCCAATAAATCCAGTCCCCACTGCATTAGCTTATTTTTAGGATTGTCCTGAAAAGACATTCAGCCTGTATCATAAAACCTTCAACTGAGCAGAAAATACACAGAATGATGATGACTTTAAATTTGGGTTCTTGCCCTCTGGGGCAGTGCTTCAGATACGATTTGATAATGTACTGAATGCTGAAGGAACGCAGAATCTCGAGATGAGTTCATAAAGACAAAGCATTTCTGCAATGTCGGTGCTCTCCTAATCAAAGGAAGCAAAATAAATTTTATCCTTAATTTTACTGCAAATGTTATACTTAATTTGCAGTGAAACTATGTTTTCTATGTAAGATATTTCTCAGAAACAGAATGTTTAAAGTTAGCACATAAATTCATGCTTGCAACTGATACACCTTTTTCTGATTTTTTTCACCTTCTTCCATTGAGTGTATTACAGACTTGTTCTTGAACATAGTTTAGACAATACATGTGTCACAAGCAATGATGAATCAAAGAAAGAAAGCATCCAGAAAGGGAAGTTAACTAGACAGGTAGGACCTCATCAGCATCACATTCTGTTCCATAGCTACAATAACAATAATTGAGTCAGACACATGGATTTTTAAGTGCCTCTTAAAGAGGAAAGTTAGGAGAGACACTGTGGAAAGAAAATTATATACTGAAATGTGGCATCTCCGTTTTGCAGCTGCCAACCTTGCTCTGTCAGTAGCCACAGCTGTTGCCTTTTCTTCTAAACTTAGCAGGGGATGGGTAAAACTAAAGAGAAGCAGGGCATGTGCTTTAGCTGATAAGGAGGTGTGGGTCCAAGTCCCTCTGTGTAATCAAAGTAAACCTTTAATAAATTTGAACTCTTGAAAGAGAGGTAATTTATTTTTGTGTTGATAGAAGCTGACACCAGGGAGATGTGTACCTGCCTTGTGGGTGGATTCACTCTCAGGATGTTCCTCACAGCCCTTCCTGCACCACTTAGGTTTTCTCAGGTTCGGCTGTTTTGCCACTTGTGTTTTGTCCATCTTGGGCAGCACACTTGCTCACTGTCAGCTTTCCCACTGCCTGAAGGAGAATATTTGTCCAAAAAAGGAGGAAATCTACTCTCTCATTCTGCTGCTGATTGAATATGGGCTTTTAGCATGTGGTCCTCAACACTAAAGTAAAACCTGGTGGATTTCAAATCTGGAGTGCTGAAAATACAGGCTTGTTATATCAGAACTTGATGTCATTCATACCAGTTTGCAGTAAAATACTGCAATACTCTCACTGAATTTGTGTGGCTGTTTATTTTTGGGTTTTTTTAAGCGTCAGCTTTGGACAGCATGAGTCTAAGTATGAATATTTACTTCTTTTTTTTTTTTTTTCCTCGCCCTTGGATTGCAGAAGAAAATGTGGAGACGTGACCTGACATTCAAAATGAAACACTAAGACTGAAACGAATAATCCACCACTTGTGATTTACTTTTTCAGTATTTTTTTTTAAAAGCCAGTTCTCTGCTCTTTGATCTGCTGCCTTGGGATTTCTGAGTGCTTTATCTTTCCATGTGACAGTCACCTGCCAATGATGATTTCGGTAGGTGAACAAAATGCTGATGTAGATAATGGAAGACATGATCCTTTCCCCCATTCACAGTAGCCTGAAGTACTCTGGGCCTTGGCATAAGATCATGAAGGGTATTTATGGTGCAAAGTTCTGCTGATGTAGCACGGGAGGGCTCTCTAAGGTCGCCAAACCTGGTGTGGTTTTGACCTATAAGAAACAGTCCTGGGGCAGAGTTACCTGCTGAATGAACTTCAGCTCAGGGGGATGCAGCTGGCTCCTTCCAACACAGAAGATGGGAGTGATTTAACATGAGATGTGGATAATCAGGAGAGAAGTGGGAATACGACTGGCTGACAATAAGAGATACAGCCTGCACATCCTATGGGTGAGCTTCACTGGGGGATAAAATCCTCTCTGCACCAAGCAGGAATGTTGATGGTCAGCCACTGTATGAGCCACTAACTGTGAAGGAAAGAAGGTCCTAAGGAAATAGAGGAAATGTGGATGTTTGTGTCATATACAGAAAATTTGGCCTGGCCTGCATGCCAGATGATATCCTTGCATCTGGTGAAGCTGAAGATGCTGAGAACAAGGATAGGAGGAAGGGGACCATACCCCAGTTAGATCTATGCACAATGTGTCGTTGAATGAAATAAAATATATCTTGAAAAATGATTGATGAAGACTAGAGCTCATAACTCCTGGGGTAATTTTGTCACTTTTATCTTCAGGGTGGAGATCACTACATGCCAGGCTGCATTCCTTCATAGCATCTGAATCATTCTTATTGTCTCCACAAGCTGAAAATGAGAAACAGACTGGCAAGAAAGTTAAAATTTTCAAGGTGGATGGAACAGAGAACAGCCTTATTTGTTTTGTTTGGTTTTTTTTTTTTTTTAAGATTAAAGGTTCCTGTTGCATTTTTGCAGACAATAATACACTGGATTTTATGATTCCTCTATTTAAAACAAAACTATGGTTTCCTAGATTTAAAGAGAAATAAGAGCACCTGAATAAAAGAGCTTACTTCAGTGCTGTCTATATCCATCCTGGCTTTCCGTGAGATGCACGAGGGAGAAATATTTCCAAGGCACCAGTGGTTGCCATATCCTGTATGCAAAAAGATTCCATAAATGTCTGAAAACAGATGGAATGCAACTTTGGAGGAATAAATGGATTTTTAATTTTCTGAACATTTTGGATTCCATCTGGTTGAAGTAACTAAGTGACCTACTAGAATACTTTTACCTTTCTTGTATAATAGATAGAAATACAGCTTGCATTGCTATTGACTGACACATTCCCCATTAATAAATGGGGTTTACTTGCTAATACATTTGCTTATTTTTAACTCTTTTGCCCTGTGTGTCAGGGGATACCTGATGCACTTCTTCCTGCATGTCAGACCTAGATGTTGGCTCTCTCTCATGATTTGTCCTTGCAGCTGGTAAGGAGGAGCTCTAAACCACCTGCCTAAGCCCACCTGTCAGTAGTGGAAGCCTAAAGAGATAACACACCTTAGACTTATCTCCTTTTTTTTTTTTTTTTTTTTTTGCTGCAAGCATTGGCACAGGGCAAAAAGAAAAATAAAATGCTCTTAATTTCCTGTCTTGCTTAAAGGGAAAGAGTAAGAATGAGTAGGGGCTTTTTGTAGAGGTACTAATAAGGTGGATTATTTTCTGTTTACTGTTTCTTGTTACTGCCATTTAGAATGTTGTTAAATGAATAAGAGTAAATACATGTGTGTTTTTTAAACAGGAAATGAGCATTTCTCTACGAGTAGGAAAGACAGGCGGCTTGAACTCACAAGAAAGAAGTCATAAAGTATATTACTCTCTATAAAAAATGGAAGACCTAGTTATAGAAAAGACACCATTTTTGTGCCTTTCACTTGTTACCTTTCCCTGCTTCAGTAAAAGGTAAAACCCAAATCTGTTCACTCCCCTTGAGAGAGAAAATGAGTCTTTTAAATCACTAATTTTAAGCCTGTACTTAAAGTTGCACTACTTATGAGGCTGATTATTTATGATTTCCATATTGCCATTCAGAAACTTGTACTGAGAATAAGTATTTCCATGCTGGTAAGTTCATAAGCAATAGTTAGTAAGATATTGTCAATGTGTTTGGTATTAGTTTTCATATTTTTTGGCACTTGGGAACATTTCTCAGGGTTCTTGCTATGAATATGGATAAACATTCCAAAGAATGGGGAATGACAGCCCCCCCCTTTTTTTTTTTTAAGGGATAGTAGTGAGACTCTTTTCCCTTTCTGGAAGCAAGTATATTTGTGTTTCATTAAAAGCTGTTGCATCTTAGGATCACAAGTTTCAGTCTAGCAAAAAGCCTGAAATCACTGAAAGATTTCCCTTGTGCCTGACACATTATTGCTATGTAAAGAAGTGTGCTTGCTGGGTCCTTAATAGGACAAAATATAGCATTTCCACTGCAAATAACTTCTATATAAAAATCTGGTCACCGTAACCCCATAATTCAAAGTAGGCTTTCAGGCTTTCTCCCTGAAATTTCTGATTATGAACTTCTGAGGGCTGGCAAGAGCACACACTGGTGCAAGCCAGCAAAACTCCGGACACAGCGCAGTCGTGTTTTGAGTGTCTTTTGCTGGGATCCGGGAATAAGCTTGCCTTGTATGGCATTGAGACAATTGAATTCTCTTTTGCATTATACAGTTATATAATTACATTACTGTCTCCGAAGCCTTTTTGCCCCCATAAATGATTAAAACTGTTGTTGCACAAAGACTTGGGAGACGCATGTAAAACTCCTTATACAGAATGTAAGTGCCTGAAAGACTCACCAGCTGCCAGCATTGAGGATTTGCTGTTTCATGATTTTTCTGAGAGTTTAGAGTGTTCTAAAGAGAAGTCTGTATCCTGCTAATAGTACTGATCACATGTTCTCTCATTTGTATAATTGAGAAAATTAACAATATAATGAAAACAGCTCCATCTAAATAAGTTCTCTACCCACAGTTAATAAAATAGTACCTGTCCGCAGAGACCTGGAATTTCTCTGCAAATGCTTTTAGTTAAACAAAGCATTTTGTGTACCTACAGTAAATGTGATATTTATTTTTTCATTATTCATGAAACAACTTTAATGTCACTGCTGATTTTCCTGGTAGGATGTTCAGCTCCAGCATACCAGAGCTCATGCTGAGCTGTAGCTGAAGATGTCATTCACAATAAACATGAGCTGCTGTGACAATACGATGGCAGAAGGTGAAGAATCTCTTTCCTTGTGCAAGGGCGTGCATGTGTCTCTCTCTGTGTGCGAGAGGGAGAGAAGGAAAGAGATTTGATTGTGTTTACAAGATTCATCTGTGACACAGCAGGTAGTAGTCACATTGTAATAGTCACCTTAACGCAGATAATTTGATTTTCAACCTGGTTATCATGCATTTAGACATAACGATACGTGAAAATATATGCTTTAGAAGTGCATTTTAAACAAGGTTGCACACTTTAAGTGGGAATATATTAGAGGTAAGCATTGATTTTTGCAATTCCTGGAAAGCATTCTTCAGTCTATGTTACTAGGAGGACATTACTAGGAGGAAAGCAAATTCTGATGGATAAATCTCAGGGACTGCTACCATTTTTGGGCTGAACTCAACAGGATGGGCCTCCCCAAATTTGACATCTCTAAAACTGTACAAATTTCTCCCATTTGAGAGCTTCAGGTACTAATAGAATTTCACTTCTTAGTTTCAGGTTGTCTTCTGACTGGAAAACAAAGAGTCAAAAAGTCCTGTGGCCTTTCTGCCCATTACACTGCAGGGAAGACAAAACACCTGATCATAGGACGAATGTTGTCTTGGGTCACCATCAAGATCCTGACCTACCTAGCTGATGTGACACAAGGAAAGAGGTATGTTGATGTTTGTCAAGAGCAGAGCCTCATTACTGCTTCCTGGAGTAGCCTGAGAGATAAGGGGATCTCTCAGCAGTTTAATCATAGTCGTAACACACTCACTTTCATGCAAGACAAAAAAGAATCTGCTGTTTGCACCGTGAGATTTCAAGCTCTATTTAAATCTAAAGACTGTGGACGTGGTTGGGCATGATTTTGTGAATCACCTAGAGCACATTTGCACAAACAAAAGCAGGCATAATTCTCCTGAAGTCGATAGAGTTGAGCGTGTTTATACGAATGGGGCATTTGGCCCAAATCCAGTTGGAGTCTTTGCAGTATAACACCTCTGAATCTTCAGAGGTTTTCTTAGAGTCATTAATATTGAGGCTCTATGTACCCAAGGTAATTATCCATTACCGCTTGAGCCTGGACCAGGAATTGTTTTATGGCATGTTGCCTCATTAGTATAATATAATGGAAAAAAAACAGAAAGAAACTAGAAACTAGGAAAATAAGGCTGCTAAAAGGAGAAGAGTGTGAGGAAAACAAACACAGTGGGGTGAGGTCCTCTGATGGTGTAAATCAGTATCACCTTCTGTGAGGCTCTGCCAATTTACACCCTGTGATGCTCTGGCCCATGATTATTAGGAAAGTATGTTGTTGATATGCTCTATAATGGCTTCCATTACCAGCCCATGCTAAAAGAAGCAGCTGGTGAAAGTTATGTTTATGTTCCACAGATGGATCAGCAATGGCAGACACATAGCTCTGTGTCTGGTAAACAGGTGTTTTACTTTATATTTGCTAGCTAGCCAGAAGAAGTCAGATTCTTGGTGAGGGGTGTAGGCAAAGGAGATCAATTTAGTTGTTGAAAAGGAAAAAGCAATGCTTTTTGGTTGCACTTTATTTTCTTCTTATACAGTGAGTAGTGTCCTGAAACCCATCCTAATCTAAGTGACTGGGGGAAAAAATTATCAGAGGAGCAAAAATCCCAAAACTTACATCCAAATGACACTGTCTCATCTCCATCCTTACTTGCCCATTTTCAGCAGGAGATGGGATCACTTTGGTTTCAGACAAAGTAAAAGGTACCTACAATGGAGTCAAAGCCTCCCACGCCAGAGGAGCAACTTTGCCAGTTGCTGCAGTGCAGAACGGGACTAGTTGATATTATAGCAGAGATTAGCTATGCCTTTGGTGGGAGGTGGAAATATAATCCTCATTTTCATAAGTAACGTTTTGCAAACCAATTCTGACACCTGTAAATTTAATACTTACATGGCCAATGTAGAAGGAGAACAATTGCTTTTCAGCTTACTCAAGATAAACCATTTATTTTGACCGTGTTTCTTCATTTCTGATTACCCAGAAAACCAAAAAGTGGCTGGGATTTTTTCTGGTCTCTGAATGGCACATACTTCTAGATGGCAGAATGGCAACACATAAATTCCTGGGTGAATATCATTCTGGCTAAAATTCCTTAAACTCTGAGGGTTTGGGAGCATTTTCACAAGTACCCAGCAGTAGGCTGAATATTCATTAATAACTAATATTATGCCTCTGTGAATCATAGTGATCCAGATTCAGCACTTCCAGTTGCAAATCAGATCATCTGATTCTTTGACCAGCTCTAGGGAAAGCTCCTTAGTATGTAATGCAAAGAAGTAGCCTGAGGGAAGAGAGCAGGCTGGCATCATTTGCCTAAAACTTGCCCACACTGCTATTGGGTGTTGATCCTCCTGGTTAAATGAATCCTGCTGAGTCCTTGAAACCAGTGGCCAAGGCAGGCACAAGTGATTCTCCAAGAGAAGAGGTGACTCAGGGAGTGGGAGGAGTAGCTGAGACGGCTGAAGAACCTGGGGTGGGTCTGAAGAGATGTTCACCCTCAGTGTGGTTAGCTCATTATCACACCTGTTTTATTGAAACCAAACTGCTCAAAGGGGCAGCCTTGGAATCGGTGTGTTGTCAGGGAGGTGGCTGTTGGAATGAAGTGTGAGCAGCTCCTGGTTCTGAGCTTCTGTTGCAGAAATAATATATGAAGGAATAGCGAGAGCAGCAGGTGTTGTCAAAATTTATGGGTGAGCAACAAACCCAGGCAGCAGCCCCACAGGAAGAGCAGTGACAGCTACTGCAGCAGATGGTCTCGAGAATTATGAATGTGGGACCTATCCCCAGCTGCCCCTATAACTTGGTCCTTCTTGAGCAGGAACCAACAAGATGTTGACTACAGAGTCTACAGAGTCAAGTTGAGCAGCAAGACTGGGTGTGATCAGGGCCACCAGCCACTCCAGCTCCGTGCTGGACCAGCCTGACCAGAGCTGTACATATTGATCTTCCAGCAGTGGTGCTGCTGCTGGCTATGAGAGGTACATCTTGAACCAGTTGGGAATCCCAGAATAGAAGTACTGATAAAGGCTCATGGAGGAATTTAACTACCCAGACATCTGTTGAGTAACAAATACAGCTGAACATGCATCATCGCAGAGGTTCCTAAATTATAGTGAAGACAACTTTATGATCCAGAAAGTAGAGACTCCTGAGGAGAAGCCATCCTGGATCTACAGGAGTATATTAATGAAATTTGCAGATGAAACTTTGCAAGTGCATTAAAAATACAGCAGCACTGTGTTTTAGGATTGACTTCAGCAGAGTATCATATGTGTTTAAAAAGAACTGTCTGCCTCATCCGCTTATTAACTTTTACCATCTCACAAGTAAACAAAAGCTCAAGCCTACCTTTCCCTGTCTTTAATCCTATTTGCATCATCCACGCATGCCAGACATTTGAGATCTGCAGACCCTTAACTAATACACTTTGCAAACATCTCTCTTGGACAACACAGCTCATGAGAGAGACCAAGAGAACTACAAAAATTGATGGATGATAGCACTATGCCATTTGCCTTCAAAAATGCAAGTGCATACCTTTGCAGAAAACAAATCATTTGAAACAAATGTTGAAGAGGATGAGGAATCTTAAGAAGCAGAAATATTGAAAGATAATAATGAACAGCAAATAAGGCATGAGTTTTCAATAAGGCACAATAGCAAGGGAGGCCTATAAAATTTTGGAGTACAAACAAAGAGATATTACATCACAGGGTAAAGTTTAAATAAGGGGTTTTTTCCTTTTTGGTTTCGGGAGATATAAAATGGGCTAACACACTGAAATGAGAAGCAAAAAGGTTACACTGATTATAATGATGAACTGACAGAAGAACTTCTGAATTTCTGAAATATCTTCTAGAAGTTTTGATTTATAACAACACTTCATGGAAAAAAGAAAAGGAAAGCCAACAAAAAGACCACAAAGCTTGATTTTTATTCTGAAACAAGGGAATCTGCGAAATCTTAGGGGGGGGGGAAATCTCTTAAAATTTCTCACATAAATCAGCTAATCTTTGCAATTCTCAAAGAAAAAGCAACCCTAAATTAATCGTGTTTCATTCCTCAGATTCAATACAGGGATAATGCCAATTTTTGTCTCTAGTGATTCATTTTGTTACATCTGGAGAGTGTGTCTTTCAAAAATTTAGGGGGGAAAACCCCAATGGAGTTTTTTTTCTTCCTTTCCAAGTTTTAATTCGATGCATCCGTTTCTCTATTACAGTTCTGTCCCAAAGTTTATTGTCTCAAACACTATGCAACAAAACCTTTTTTGTTACCTTCCTGAAGGTAACAGTTCAATTTACATTTGTAGCAGCAAGGTATGGTCATGTCAGCAGGATGGCAACCTTAGTAATCTTCCTGCTAAAATCCTGTTCATTAGCTTTATGATAAAATACGTATGTGGTATAAATATTTCCAGAAAAAAACAAATCTTTGCACTTGTCTGTGTTAATCCTGACATCTGCTATGGGTCCCATAGAAAAAGAAATCTACCTGCAAAAGTTATTCCAATTCACCACTGTATTAAATCTATTATCAAATAGTTCCACTCCACCCAATTAAAGGCTTACTCAGCATCTAACGGTAATAACATTCGTGGCCTTGAGCCTTTGCTTGTTCAAAGTTTTTAGACCCCCCAAAGCATCACCTAAAAGGTCACTGAGGGGTCAAGGAGTGTTCAGCTCTTTGATGAGAAAGAACCAAAAGCTCCTTTTAATCTTAATATTCGACTTCAATGCACACACACAGACACACACACACACGCGAAAGAATAAATATTCTAAGGAAGACTGATCTCAGTCCAGGCACAAGCAATAGTGGAAGACTTTTTTTGTCAAAGGTGCAATATGGGAACTACCTTTGCAAGCAAGGAATTTGGAAAGAGATGAAAAAATGAATGAGAATCCCTCTCTGGTTATTACTTCTTTCTGAATTCCAGTTCGAATTGGACTCAGACAAAGAAGATAGAAGACAAGCACACTATCAACAAGATAGCAGCGGTGATATACAAACCACCACTAAGGAACTCCCTTTATGTGTCTAGGGAGCCCTTCTAAAGAAAGCCCACAAACACATGCCTGAAGGCTCTGCTTGCTTCAGGCTGGATGGGTTTGCTTGATGTTCTTGCTCAAAGTCAACTTGTAATCTACAAGACCAGTCTCATATTAAGAGAAGAAACAAAACCTAAAGGTAAAAAAAGGGCAACAGAATCTCTATCAACCTGAAACTTAAATTTTTCTGTTTGCTGCACCTGAGCTGGCTTGCACAGTCACTGAACTGAGTCTCTTCAAGGTTTCAGCACTGCAGTGGGAGCAAAGAACACAAAGAAAAGTCACTTGTGGATCCCAATTTCTACGAGGGAAGGTAGAAAAGGCTCTGAACTGTCCCCGAGCAAGGTTATTAACTTGAAAAATACTTAGCTGAAACTCTTTCCTGGTGCATTGACTCATGCCCTCCACTTCAGCAAAGCCAGATTACAGTGATTTGCCAACGATTTTGTGGCTGCAAAA